ATCTTTTTTTGATGTTCCCTGCATTGTTCAGTATTTTGCCCATAGAAACCATCAACATTGCAACTCAAGGCTTGAGTTTTTTCAGCTTGAGAAATACTGAGCATGTTCTTCCCTTTGATTTTCCAACTCCAGGTCTTTGCACATTTCATTACAATACTTTGTCTTCTTGAGCCACCCACTGAAATCTTCTGTTCAGCTCTTTTATCCTGTCATTTCTTCCATTTACTTTATTTATTTATTGTGATTTGGGTGCAAATTTACAAAGCAGATTTGTTTTACTCTCAACAGTGCATGCACATTTGATTTCACAGCCCCAACTACAATCTCCAACATAAAAAACTCTCCTCCTCTCTCCTCCCTGTGACTATCCCACCATGTGCCCTTCCTACCTATGCATCCCATCTGTCCAGCTTTCCCTCTAGGTGAATGCTGCCCCTCTGGTGTCTCATGGACGACTGATCTAAGGGGTGCAGCTCCCTATCTTCCATTCACTTTAGCTACACTACATTCAAGAGCAAGTTTCAGAGTATCTTCTGACATCCATTTTGGTCTTTACTTCCTTTCCTGTCTTTTTAATGACCTTTTGCCTTTTTCATGTATGATGTTCTTCATGTCATCCCACAACTCATCTGATCTTCAGTCACTGGTATTCAATGCATCACATCTATTCTTCAGATGGTCTCTAAATTCAGGTAGGATATACTCAAGGTCATTATTTTGGCTCCTGTAGACTTGTTTTAATTTTCCTCAGCTTCAACTTAAACTTGCATAGGAATACTTGATTGTCTGTTCCACAGTCAGTCCCTGGCCTTGTTCTCACTGATGATACTGACTTTTTCCATTGTCTCTTTCCACAGATGCAACTGATTTGATTCCTATGTACTCTATCTGGCAAGGTCCACTTGTATGGTCACCGTTTTTGTTGTTGAAAAAAGGTATTTGCAATGAATAAGTCATTAGTTGTGCAACCTCTATCAAGTGATCTCCATTGTCATTTCTATCACTAAGGCCATATTTTCCAACTACCTATGCTGCCGCTTTTTCCAACTTTTGCATTCCAGTCACCAGGAATTATCAATACACCTTGAGTGCATATTTCATCAATTTCAGACTGCAGAAGCTGGTAAGAATCTTCAGTTTTTTCATCTTTGGCTTTAGAGGTTTGTGTGTAAATTTTGAATAGTTGTATTAACAGGTCTTTGTAGGCATCTGGATATTATCCTATCACTGACAGCACTGTCCTTCAGAATAGATCTTGAACATTCTTTCTGACGATGAATGCAATGCCCTTCCTCTTTGTCACGCCCACCATAGTAGACCATATGATTGATTGATTCAAAATGGCCAATGCCAACCCATTTCAGCTCACTAATGCCTAGGATACTGATCTTTATGCGTCCTATTTCATTTTTTACAACTTTCATTTTTTCTAGATTCATACTCTGTACATTCCACATTCCAATTATTAACCAGATGTTTGCAGCTATTTCTTCTCATTTTGAATCAAGCTGCACTAGCAAATGAAGGTCCAGAAAGCACTTTATGCATATCATTTTATTTAATTCTAACAACAATTCTACAAAATAGGAGTTATGTTTATCCCAATTCACAGATCAGTAAACTGAGGCAGAGAGGGCCAACACCATCTCTAGTTGCTACTTACCTGTACGAAAGGCTCTGAAAGGCAGCGTCCTTAAGGATTGTAGATAATGGTTCAGGGCAGTATTTTCACAGTGAAGGAGGCTATAAACAAGAACAAATAAACCACTAAATAATTTTCTTTAAAAAAAAAAAAAAAAAATTAGTGGGACAATTAGCAAAAATCTTTAATACAGTATATAGATTAGACACGAGTATTGTACCAATATCAATTTCCTGGTTTTGACAACTGTATTGTGGTTATGTAAAAAAATGTCCTTGTAGGAAAAAGGCTGTAATACTAAAGAGCTGACATACTTAAATGTAAAGGCATATCAAGCCTGCAACCTGTTATTAAGTGTTTCACGAAAACACACACACACATATATATATACAGAGAGAGAATAATTGTGGTGGCTGGGCCTGATTTTGAGTTATTTCCCATGGTGAGACTGGTAATCAACTCCATGGTGGGATCTACTGGAACAGCTGAGTAGCTGCCTTAGGGATGTGGTCTGCTTCCAGTACATAAGAAGCACTGAGAAAGGTCTCTGAGCATTTTGGCACACTTAGACCCTGCATGTAGCTGAGCCTTCATTCAGCAGCCTGCCATGTTGTCTGCCGATCTTAGGACTGTTCCTGGACTTGAACCAGTGGCCTGCCATGTTGTTTGATAATCTTGGGACTGTGCCATTTTCCCTGTCCACCTTGGGTTTGACAGCCTCAACAGCCAGCAACTGTCTGAATTGTGTCTCTCCTGTTGTGAAAGTTCTCCTAAAACTCAACTTACCCTCAGATGCTCTAGAAGCTCCTGGGGCTTTATCCCACACTCTGCCTTGGAGGAGCTCTGGTGGCACAGTGCCTAAGGCATCTGACTGCTAACCAGAGCTTGGTGGTTCAAACCCACCAGCCACTCCACAGAAGGAAGATGGGGCAATCTACTTCCGTAAAGATTTACCACCTCGGAAACCCAATGGGAGTAACTATGAGTCAGAACTGATGCAGAAGGAAGATGGGGGAATCTACTTCCATAAAGATTTACCACCTCGGAAACCCAATGGGAGTCACTATGAGTCAGAATTGACTTGATGGCACGGAGTCTAGTTTTGGGTTTTTTGGGGTTTTTTTTTTTTTATCTTGTATTAGAGCTATTTAGCAAAGTATTTCTTCCGCTAAACTGTAACGTTCCTTGAACAAAAGGCCTATTTCAAATCCATCTTTTAATCCCTTCCTTCTACCCACCCTCCCCCCTTCGCATGGTCTCTGGCATTGTTGTTAGCAGTAGGAGAGATGCCATAAATATTGCTGAATGTAAGTCTTTCACAAGCAACCACACCCTAGCTACTATTGCCTATACTTGCCCGACCTAAGAACTGTCTGGGCCATTTGTAAATAATATAGTTGCCAAGTCTATAACTGTAACTACTGAATCTGAATTTTGAGAGAGGGTGGGAGTATAGCCAGGAATCTCTATTTGTAATAAACATTTCAGCCCATAAAAGAATTCACTCTTTTATCAAACGAGTTTGGGAAGTACTACCCTAAATTATCATCTCTGATGGTAATTCTCTTCTATCACTCATCTATCACACATCACTCAATTACTGAAAATCCTCCCCACCATGAAGCCTTCATCTACATACCTCATTAACAGGTCCTGCTTTACAGTACTTAAGAATGATGAAAATGTTATCTTTTGGGGGCTTTGGCTAGTACACAACACTTCTGAAAATTGAGAGTTCTTATTGTATCCAAATCCTCATCCCTTCTACCCACTGCACCTAAATCTAGTTTTTGTTGTTATTAGGTATCATCGAGTGGGCTCTGACTCATTGCAACCCTGTGTACAACAGAACGACACACTGCCTGGTCCTGTGCCAGCCTCACAATCCTTGCTGTACCTGAGCCCATCACTGCAGCCGCTGTGTCAATCCATCTCATTCAGGGCCTTCCCCTTTTTCATTGATACTCCACTTTACCAAGCATGGTATCCTTCTCCAGGGAATGGTCCCTTCTGACAACATGACCAAATTAGTCTTAGCTACCTACAGTGATAGTGAAATATGTTTTTATGTTATTCTTCTTAAAATGATGGTAAGGCCATGCAATCCTCAGCCTCTATGACCATGAGACACCAGAAGAACTAGATGGTGCCTGGCTACCACTGTCAACCACTTGGAAGAGGATCTCTGTAGGAGATCCTTGATAGAGTGGGAGAACAATGTGGAACAAAACTCAAAATCATAAAATAATAATAATTAAAAAAAAGGAACCAAGTTTGCTGGTCTGATAGAGCCTGGTGGAACCCCTGAGACTATGGCCCAGCTGCCCTTCAGATCTGGAATTGAACCCACTCCTGTGGCTTCCAGGCAAACAAAAGACAGGCATATGGGCTGAACATTTACATTAAGTGGAGATATCCATTATGGGAGAATAGAAGGGCAGTGTTTGCACAAGGAGACAGCTCAGGGGGCAGGAGTGCATGGGAGGAAAGAACACAGGGAAGAGGTTAACTATGCAGAGGAAGTGGGAAGAGCTGTTGCATTGTGGGAAATTGCAGTCAATGTCATGAGACAAAG